CCTTCCTTGTGGCTCTCAGAAGGATGCAACCTTGCTGCCACCCTGATCTTGGACTTCCACCCTCCAGAACTGTGGGACAATGAACCTGTTGCTTTAATCACCAGCTGGTAGCCCTAGAAAATTAACATTACCTCCCCCCCACCCCAGGACAGACACGGGGGTGACTCTCCATCCCCTGCATGCCAGTCAGTCCAAACTACTTGCACTTGTAGGGTTGTTCCATTCCCTTGAACACTCTTCTTGTTTCTGCTGGACTAACACAACTTGTCTACAAGACCCAGCTCCTGCATGGCATCCTCTGGACAGCCCTCCCTGACCCCCAGGCCTGGCAAAGCCCACTGTGCATGTGTCTACCATAGCACTTGTCACACCTTAGCATGGCGATTGACTGTTTTGTCTCCCCCTGCAGATTAAGAGCCCCTTGAGAGCAGACACATTGAGACTTCAATACCCGCAATGAATCACCAGTTAACAAAATACACCTCCCTCCATTTGCACCTTGAGATAGTAAGGATGGTTTTTAAAATTTAAGCACGGGAAAAGCAATGAATTTCCTATTCCTGGTCTTTAATTTCATGTTAATGAATGAGGTATATATTTTCCTATGAAGCCTAGAAGAGGCCAATCAAAATCAAAGCAAGATACTCTAATCTTTGTGTTACTATTATTTATCCAATTAAACAAGTACACATATTTACTCTACTTTGTTTCCCCAGCAGAAAAAGGATGCTTACTGATTTTTATGATGCTAGCCATAAAATGATAGGTGTAAGGCACGTGTCTTCGCAGATGGAGGCAGGGTACCCTACACAGGGACGCTTCCTGATACTGCATTATGGTTTGGCACCACGAGAGGGCACCAGGGAGTGGCTGGATGTGGTGACTTTCGCACTGATCCCAGATATTTTGGAATTTGAGACTTGTACACTCCTGAAACAGAAAAACCTCAGGATACAAAAGCCACTTTCCCAGGATGCAAGATCCCTCCCTGCACGGCCTTTCTCCGTTGCACCTCTAATGCCCAGGATAGTGTCAACCGTCGGGCCAGTGGTCAACTGAGCATCTACAAAAGACGGAGTCAGGCAGGATGTACAAAAGTCGGAATTTGAGACTTGTACACTCCTGAAAGAGAAAAACCTCAGGATACAAAAGCTGCTTTCCCAGGATGCAAGATCCCTCCCTGCACGGCCTTTCTCCGTTGCACCTCTAATGCCCAGGATAGTGTCAACTGTCGGGCCAGTGGTCAACTGAGCATCTACAAAAGACGGAGTCAGGCAGGATGTACAAAAGTCACCTGTATTCCAGCCAAAATACCTAGAAAAAGAAATCTCTTCTAAGGCGGGGGCGGGGGGGGAAGACAAACTACATAAGACACAATACATTTAAAATATGTATTGAAATTACAAATCAAACTTTTCCATAGGATTCCAAAGTACAAAACACAACATTAAAAGGCATTCAAACAGCGCTTTTATACATCACAGTGTTAGTGGCACAAAATGTACTGACATTTCAAAAACACAAACCAAATTTGTTTTGTTTTTGTTTTACCACCACTTGTCAAATACATAATGTCTACATATGCATGACTCATTCATGCGTATCTTTATACAAGATTAAAATACACCCATGGTAAAGTGAGCAGAGAAGAAGAGGCCAGGCGTGTGGCACGTAGCTGTCCCCCGGGGAAGGCTCCCACGCTGTGGAAGGCAGGACTACACAAGCCGAGGGCAGTGGAGACCACAGGTCGTACAACCCATGGTAAAGTGAGCAGAGAAGAAGAGGCCAGGCGTGTGGCACGTAGCTGTCCCCCGGGGAAGACTCCCACGCTGTGGAAGGCAGGACTACACAAGCCGAGGGCAGTGGAGACCACAGGTCGTACACACTGAGACTGCACGCTCTCCTGGCCGTGGTGCCTCAGCAGTTCTATTGTAATGCAGCACCCTGCAATCCGTTTGGTGTGTTTGGCAATACCTGTCATAATCCCTTCATTTTGTTTATTTTCATAAGGGCTTGAGTTAATCATAAGGAATAAACAAGCTTTGGTATTTTTAAAAGACCTTCATGAAGCTTTGTACGTGCGAAATGGTTTCCCTTGATTTTCCTGGGAATCATACATATGCGCATATGTATGTATCCACACACAAACTGTTGCATTTATTAATAAACGAGAATCTGAGAAATATACAAAAGCCTACTCTGGTTCTCTCCAATCCCCTAATTTTTAAAAGACTACCATGGGAAAATTTGCTGTCCTAATTTATTAAATACCTTTGAATTTTTGTAATATAAGTGAAAAAGATAAACTCATCTGGAAGGAATTTTTGCATCTCTGATAATCCCTCTCCCCTCGGGCCCTGTGTTCTAATCAGGAATTGGCCTGGGTCCTAAACAGTTTTATGGAATAATATGTTGTAAAGAGAATTTGTTCTCCTTTAAAAAGAGGTCAGAGGTGGCAGACGTTGGTCCCTCAGTGTGTAGCTTCTCCTGGGAGTTGACGAAGAAAAACGGATTTGGACAGAGATTCATGCAAAGGCTTCATTTCTGCTCAGATGCTAAGTCAGTCTCTGCTCCATGAACAGCCACGGCGACTCCATCTCTGAAGGCGCTGGCCTCGTGTGACACCAGGTACGTCCAGTAAAATCTCATAGCGCGGTCGGTTACCAGAGGGTCTCAGATAACCTGCAGGTCAGCATGTCCTCAGCAGCCACCCCAATGGCACAGCGGTATAGTGGCACAGTCCCTCTTTAAGGGCCTCCTTCTTCTGCTCCCCAGGATTTAAAGGCCTCTAAATAAATAAACATCTGTGCTTCCAGGACATCAGACTAGAAAAGTGAATGTCATTTTTCAATTAAGACAGACCACACTGGATCAGAGGCGTGAATCCGTCCACTCCCACGTTTCACTGGGGAGCGGCAGCAAGACCGAGGTGAAGTCCAGGGCATCCTCCTGTTTCTATTTACGTTGTACGGCAAGCACGTGATACCGCATCACCATAAACAATGGTCGTGGCACTCCTCACGCAAAGAAAAGCAGTCTGACAGGGGAAATGCAAGTTTATGCACCTCTATGTGACCTTGCTGGTATTTAGATACAGAGTGAACAATTTTAATTGTATTACTAAACCAAACTGAGGAAACAGGCATGCTTGATACAAAAAGAAAGAGCTGGCAGGTGCTAATTTGACTGCTCCTGGCTGGACCCAGGATCTCTGTGGTCCCTACTTGGGTCACACCATATGCTTGTGAGACACATCGGACTGAAGGCACAAGGATGTTTGGGGCTACAGATGTTCATGATTGAGCCAGAGACTCTCCCGAGATAGAAGGACATCTCGTCCCTCCAGGAATAAGGGGATCTGAGTGCTAGCCCTGGGGATGCAAGCTTTTCAGAATCTCTGACTCCCACCCCAAGGACAGGGTTCTACTGAATGGACTCATGCAGTGGACTGCAGGTATTACAGGCAGGAAGGTCTGGGGTGTCATAAACTCCTGCTCCATGGGCCACTGGAAATAGGGTCATGGCCTGACATCTCTGATAGGCATTTTAAAGGGCACTGGCCAGACAACTGCACCCACAAATCGCAGGCTGAAAAGCCATTCTACCACTAGACCCCATCGCAGTATCTCAAACTTCATCCAGAAAGATGTTTCAGGCATGTTCTTACTTACTAAACTGTTATATTGCAATTACAGGAAAATTTTGAAAATAACTTTGACACACATTGATTTTCTAAATGGCTTCAGTGTCATAAAGAAAATCAAAACTGGGTGAAGAGTGAGATGATACTGATTCTTCTCACCTATTCAATGTTAGGTAATAAAGAAGAAATTTCTACACGCGGAAGGTAAACTAGGACCTGACACTGATACACAAATGTAGAAGTCAAACACACACAAAATCACCACATTTTAAAAATGTGCTTGCTATGAGCAAATAACTGAGATAAAAGGATTGTTTTTGTTTTACTTCTTTGTAGAGTGCTTATTAACACATTTTAAGAAATGACACCATAATAAATCGACATTTGCCTTTTGCTCCTTAGAAGCACATGTGCCTGTGAAAGTCAACTTTCTTTAAAGAATACACTTTCTCCACTTTTCAATGTCAACTGATGGAGCGATGGGTGTCTTCTTATCGATCCATGCATTTTGCTGGCATAGAAAGAGTCACATACTGCCCTGCAAAAGACCAAGTGGTAAGATCCCCACATCAGAATAATTCAGTGAAATGGAAGCTTTTTCCAAGCCATGACAAAAGGTTAGTAAT